CTTTATACGCAGAGTGACTTAGGTAACTTGGGCTGGTCTCATACTCCATTTTATAGAACGAAATTGTAAAGGTTGTAAGTGTATTACAGTAATACAGTTATTCTAGCGAATAAAAATGTATCAAGTTGTAGAATGATACAATTGTGAAGACAAAAGTTCAATAAGCTCTATTTTTCTCTGTCTTTATAATCTTTAGGATTATCAACATCAAGAAAAGAATCCTTGTATAGTTTTTGGAGTTAATCCTGCTAGATGTCCAGCAATTTATTATTGAGCTTCAGTATTTATTAATTCTTAGTTGTGCCAAATGTTTAAAGAAATAATTTCTGTCTATAATTTTACAAACATTTTATGTAATAGTGAGTTAAATATAACCATAAACCAGAGGAATTCTACTCCACTCTTCCTCTAGTATTATTTTCGACTTCTAACGATAAAGGATGACGCGCATCCCAACTACACGACTGACTCGGTACAGAACAAATCATCTAATATTAAAGGATGAAGTATGGCCCTGTCAAAAGAGAAAAAAAGTTCGTGTGGAAACGTCAAGCGATATGATATACTTTATCATCACATATTGTGAGTGTTTTAATCTGTTTACATCGCGTCTTCTTTGTCACTAATCAATTTCTTGAAACGTTCTTAAAGAATTTAATTAATCATACAAACTCAAAGGACTATGCCTCTAATAAGAAACTAAGAATTGAATATTTGTCCTTTTCTTTACAGATGATACTAGAGAAATCTGTATATTTACTTTTGTATGGCGTGTAAGCGTCGAGAAATGATGCTGAGTGTTATAAATAAATTCATTCAGGACTTCTTTTCCTTTAAAAATCCTTGCTTCCTTTGATTTTCCTTCAGCATGTTTCGAGGTGACGAGGTAAATTGAATGCTACATTAATGTTTGGATACTTCAAAGCAAATGTCACGGTCTTCCTGTGTCTTGTCACGGTTTCGACGTTCAGCAGGTTCGTTAGTAAATTACAAGGAGATACGCGTGATTTAGTCATGCGCATCGAGCTCGTTCACCTCGTCGGGGATGATACAATTGATTCGCGATAGATGTTGCGGTAAGTATTCACTGGACACTATCAAATGGACTCGATTTGTTAAATTGGACAAATCTTGATTAAAATCGACAGAACCATTTGCTCAGTTAGTATCGTACAATTATTTGCTGTTTGAAATAGCCTTTCGATGGAATGAACGGGGCGAATAAATCCCTGCATGGGTTTTTTATTCGTTATCTATCGATCGAATCAAATTTTGTCTATCTCTGATTTCATGCAGATAGATGATAGCTTGGCAATAATTCACCGCCATAATAGGCGACGGTATAATATATCCTGGTGCATGATGGACGCACGAAGGATAACAAGGACAGGCGAAAAATGAGAAATAGGAGGATCCTGGAAAACTGGGAAAATCGAACGATCGAACCGTCGAATTCGAACCTTTCTCTCTTCACAGACTTTCGCGTCCATCATTTTCTACAATTAGACCCACACGGATGATTTATCGTCGAACGTCTGCATGTGTTCGTCCATCGATAAAGTCCCCAGTGGAGTGTGCCAGGATCTCGCGAAGGATCTCCTCGAAGAACGTCCAATCTTCGTAAGTAAGACAGAATCGTGTCATGTTATAACTAGATCTACCTTCTATTTCTCCATTTCCTCGATACACCGAGAATGGACACCATCCTCGTATATGATCCTCAAGGAAAACTTCCGTTCCAAGACATTTCGTCGAAACTGTTCGACGAAAGTTACAACATTGGGGACTGCACTGTTCACGATTACCAGAGGTAGGAAATTCTTATCTAGATAACAGTTTCGATCTAGGAATAAAGGACGAAGTACTTTCTATTTGTTATATGTTACGTACACAAGTAGAGTTTATATTGTTGAATGAAGTATTTCGTGATAAAGAAACAAAAATTTCGTTATTTAGTGGATTTCAACCAATTAAAGGAATTATATATATACATGGAATACAATACTAATTTTAGAACTTAGTTAAAGGTATGAAAAGAAACATTGAAGAAAAGGAAACTATTTAATAATTAAAGTTAAAATGAAAGGAATAATATATATACTTGGAATACAATATTAATTTTAGATCTTAATTAAAGATATGAAAAGAAACAATAAAGAAAAGGAAACTATTTGACACATAAATACACATATATGAAGTATATATTAGGACATAGATGAAGGTACAACTCGAGGAGTTACTATAAGCAGAAAGTAAGGGAAACTGAACTCGAGTTTCAAGTGTTTGTTTTTCAAGGGAAAATAAATCACGTTTTTGCGAATCTATGGAATACACGGAAGAGAAGATTTTTTTTTAAATCCTCAAGGGCGACGCGTACTCCAGATTTGCGTGTTGATTGACGAACGCGGCGTCTCGTTGCTGGCGATGCGTCGAACGGCGTCGCGTTGACAGCTCGACTGGTACGGTTCGCGAGATAAATCCAAAATATTCCAGATTCGGCAGTAGATCGATAGAATTATCGGTAAAACTGACAGGAGTCAGAATCTCCGTTTCTGAAATTGCTGAAAACAAAATTAGAAGCTGGAATTTTCAATATTTCGTCGTAGAACGAAACCTTTATAATAAACATGTATAGAAATCTATTAAACAAACATTATTACAAATTCGCAGCCATTAGCTCGCTATTACTCGAAGGATCGCTCACCGCGAATAATACCGATTACCAGGTCTCACCACGAGGAAGTTGCTGATAATGGAAATCCGCGAGGAAGATAGAAGGAAATAGAGTTCCTTCGATCTTCCTCTACAGAGATTATACAATCGACGAGCTTAATTTGAAGTACGAAACCAAGGATATGAAAGGAGACAAAATTCGTTCGATTTCCAAAGTCTGAGACTGACTATGCCAAGCAATTATTTTAAATAAGAGGGGTGCAACACACTATTTTTATTTCAAAATTTCTTGATTTTCTAAGCACTGTTACTTTCTGTCAGAGGATGTACAAAACGCAGCTTCCGTGGAGTGCCAACGAATCCCAAAGTAAACGATAATGTTCCTGAAACTGAAAAATAGTGAGTTTCACTGCATAAGCGCCTCCCCAATCATCATTCTTCCCGCAGCCACGGATAGATCCACTTAGCCAGTCTTATCTCTTCCCGTCGCGTTTCCGCACAAAATGTAAAAAGCACCCATGTTTCTTTGGAGCCACGCCGCCTACCGTAGGTCAAGTAAATCGAGCGTAACGTATCGTCCAGAGTTTTTTACGTTGGTTGTTATCTGACTACCATTTAACCCGGAGGGCTATCTTCCTTCCTCTTTTTTTGGAGACAGCAGGAAGGAAAGTACCCGTAAAGAAGCTCCAATCGTGCAAAATGAGCGGGACACCGTGAGAGAGAGAGAGAGAGAGGGGGGGGGGGGACGAGTCCACCATATCTGCGCCACTTACTCGAATCGCCATGCTTCGGGGTGCTTTCAGAGCTTTAATCTATCGAGGGACAACCATTGGTCCGTGAACATTGTTATATTGTTCCTGGAGAAGACGTAATCGGGGATTTTCGGATCAGTGGTTGTGAGAAATCTGGAGATGTTTTAGCAAAATAAACATTTGGTAAGACAGAGATCATCCAATTGTGAAAAACTTTTATAGGCAGAAATTGTTCATTACAATGAAGTTAAGACATACTGTTTCTAAGAAGTTCTGTATATTAAAATCAATATTAAATAATGGTATTCCTTTGTATCTTATATTTCAATGAAACCAACATTGTTTTATTTAGGAAATTCCCGAGTGGAGGTCGGAAGTAATTTTTTTCTTTTCGTGCGTGGAAACATGTGAGCCTATGCACGAACTCGAATTACAATTGTTTTCAATAAAATGTACTTCATTATCAACGTCATTATTTAAACTTCAAAGTGAACTCAGGAAGATAGAATACTCTTTTAATTGACATTTCATCTACAAGCAGTTCCTCTTTCTAATTCTTAACCAATTTGTCGTCATTCCTAAGCGGTTATTTCCTCTAAAGTTTTCGTCGCGTCGTAGACTCTTTTCGGTCGACGGGTAACGATTGAAAATTCTCTTCTTCAACAAATGCATAGAAAACTTTTCTAAGCGGCTTCTGAATATTCCATTGTCCGTACGTAGCGCGCAAAATATCTCATGTGTTGTGTTCGACTCGTAGAATCGCTACAGGGGCCATCGATATTCCTCCAGATCCGAGACTCTCCGTTAGGAACCACTAATAGAGCAGCAGCGTCACCAACAGTCGATGCTTCTTTAAAAATTTCTATAGTAAACATCGTTACAGTCCTTTTCATTCCATCAACTCGAGCTATTAAACTAAGAACGTCATTGAAATTTGCAATTTAATGAAATAAATAACGTAGGGAATCAGTGCGGCAACTGATCAATATAGTTTACTAAATAATGCATGTACTTTTTGATTTTTTACCTCAGGGTGTCCATTAAAATTTTATTCGCAATCAAGTTTTATCGAACCTTTTAACCATTAGTAAACCGTCCCGAGTATTGGGTAAATTTATTTTAAAACAAAACCATCGCAATGCGCGCTTTTTATCTGCATTTTCACGTAAAAGTATAAACCAATACGAAACGTTATAAACGAGCGGAATTCACTTTAACTGCGTTCATATATTTAATATTAAAACAATTACACGAATTTTAAATGTAGTCACGGTGAAAATACGAAACGGAGGAATAAATGTTATGAACCACAGATGTAGAATGTATAAACTGTTATATGCTTTTATTATTTCCCAAATTATGCTTTCACTGCTTCAAAATTATTTCTACTAATTTTTATCAGCCATCTAATTAATAAAGTGATGATTCCAATTATGTACATGAATTAAACTGATATTAAATTACATGATTACTTTATTAATTCATATTAGATAAATTTATGTTTGAATTAATGTATATAAAATATAAGTAATCTTATCACGAACTGTATGTGCATATAAAGTGTAACATACATATATGTTATTAATATAGAGTTGCAATTAAATCTTGGTAGAATATTTTACAAATATGTTCGACGCAATATTGCACAGCCATGTGGTCATAATATGTAGTCCAATATAAATTAAAATTTCTAACATTGCAATCATTTTTTGTAATATTCTGTGCTATATTGACATTTATATTAAAATAGAAATTAAAATTAAAAATATTTCTGCGAAAAAATGTATATACACAAAGAATGTCTACCTTCTAAAAATTGATTTGATCATATTTTCATTCACCTGATCATCGTTCTCCGTCCCTCAAAACATGACATAGAAATGTGTCCCCTAAAGTGTCCCTTTCTGAAGTCCGTCGTCTACAAACTATTATATTCACAAATGTATCCTCCGAAGACTATTGTCTTCTGAAGCTTATCATCCAATGGCTATTATCTTAATGTGCTTGCAATCGTTCAGCAGTGAATCAAATGCAAGGTTCATTATCACGATGGAATTCACTGAGCGTCTTAGGGACAAATGCGTGCACTTAAGTGCTTGGTCAACCGGGTGAACATAAATCAACCTGCCTTCAAGGTACGAAATGGGTGGTGTCTCGAGGTTAATTACAAGGCTGTTACGTTGAGTCGTGTTTACAGCAGTGTATTTACGACATCACTCATAGTTGCTACATATTAATAGAACAAACACCAGTTACACAGCTCCTTGTACCAACGAGGTCATGTATCCGATAGTGGTAAAATAAATTTCAAGCAATTCTTGTACCTATCACTGGAAAGATAGGTCTCGTGGCCACGCTTACCATGCAACGATACGAGCAATCAAAATCTCTAACCACTTCCACTAATTTTCAAAGGTTCCCTCTTCGTGACATGAAACGTAACGTTTATTTAACGACGAATAAGAATTTTGGTCGCGATACCATACTAAAGTAACTACTATATTAATTTTTGGAATCAATAATGGTTTCAGATAATTCATAAATGGTTCAAATTATTAAATATCAGTGATCTATTAGATCAGATCTTAGACTCTATTACTTCGAGTTTACTTTGCGAAGCAATCACCTTTCACTTTTCTTTCTCTACTCATGCACTCCAGTTCTGTATATTTTTTCCTTATAGCAAATTAAGGTATTAAGTGAATTCAATATATTTCTGACAAACGAATAGTTTTTGACATTTCTCTACAGCAATATGTACACAAGAATCTGTTACAGTTTCTTACGATTAAAAGTCTTCCGTTCCGCGATCATCAGTCGTTCACTAAATGTAGGACGCTGTCCCTGGTGATACCGATTTCCCTTAGAGTAGTTCCTAGATGCTCCAATCTCCTCGGCGAGTAACTGAAGTTACAAGTGAATGTTTCGTTGTGGGTAGAGCAACGCAAGGAAAAGCAGAATTCATCGACCAAGTCTTACCCGCTGAGAACGATTTTGTATCCGCGAGGAACAGTTCTCGACATGGCTCTGTCTAGCAGGTGGTAAAGTTGAGCTATCGGTTCATCGGCGGATACGTGCACCAAGTAAACTGTACCACCGTTCAGGGACCTGACTTTCAGTCGGAGTTCTCCTGGCGTTCCCGATGGTTCGTTGATCTGATGTAAAATTGGCGGCTGGAACACGTCAAACAGATTACAAACGACGTTTAATCATCATCTAGAAGACTCGAATTTTGAGGGGTTGTTGATGGGATATGGTTCATATAGTCGCACCTCAACTATATTTATGCTAAAAGGGTTTTCGAAAATATTTGAAAAGATATTCAACTTTTATCGGGGTTAAGATACTCCTATAAAGCTCCATCAGTACTTCCATCAAAATTATTTTGAAAGAAAATAGTAAACGATACATTAAAGGCAAATTCGTTGTTTGTAATATATATTGCAGTTTTTGAGAAATGAATTTATCAGAATTTATCAAAATTTCAATTAGAAGATGTTAAGCTTCAAAATGAACTATGTAGCTGACTAAGATAATAATAAATTTCCTTTATTAAAACCTTGAATTCCCTCATTCTAGATTACATTAAAATTAATAAAACAATAGCCATTCAAAATTTTTTTAAGGATTCAGCCATTTCATCTGTAACAAACCATGGTGTCCTTACCGCGTTCTTTCTGACTGGCGCAGCTGATTTCGTAACGCGTGGATTTCGTTTAGTTGCACTGTTCGTCGTTCGCAAATTCGAGAATCGTGTGGCGTCGACTTTGGCAAAATCCGTGGCTGGTTTAGTTCTCGTTATGGGTTTAGGATTCACGGACATACGAGAGCTTGGCAAGCTGGCGGATCTCGTTCGCTGTCGAGTGCGATCTTCTGTGTTCTCGAATCGACTGAAGGCGAGGGGACGTTGAAAAGATATCGACGAACGTAATTAATTGGATAAAAATTGTACCTGGGGGATGGTCGTGACGAACTTCTATCGGTCGAACCGTGGTAACACCTTCCAGAACTTGGAAACCTTAACACACCTCTGGATTTCGGAAGCCCCTCTCTAACGGTGACGTCAAAGTCTGCAGTCTTCGTAGCCAGATCTCTCTTCCAGAGGACAATTCAAAATAGAGATAAATACTTTTACGTTTTACGCAAATTTTTGGAACATATGTGCATTGACAATACGATTGTAATTGGAAAATATTTGTTAAGGTGTTAAGTTTAACCATTTTGCGGTCGCATGTCTACTCTAAACCACCTCTAAACCACCTAAATTTAATACGACCGCAATGGGTTAAAAAAGGGATGAGTCCCCTTTCATTCTATGGTGAACAAAGGTTATAAAAGCAGTAAATCGATTTTTACCTTCTCTTTTCGGCTACTCAAACCCAGTTCGGCGTTAATGTGCGATTGCAAATGCGTGTCGGAGCAATTATTATTGTGCGATGCAAGAATTTGCGAACGAAGAATGTACATCTCGATTGGCGGAGTATCGACCGATGGACTTTTCGATTTTAACGACCTGCTCGCAAACATTCACCACTTAAAAATGATCAGTAATTATATATAAAAAATTAATATCAAATGGAAAACTTGATGTGGCGGAATTTGATCTTCAGAAACTAAATTAAATACATTATCAAGGTTATTAGCGGGGTTTTCAATATTTCGACTATTTTATTCTGATCCTTCTCTAAAGCAATATAGTAAACTATTTCTTCATCATTACTTTCTATGTCAGTGACAATCCAAATTATAATTAATATTCAACAACCAAAGAGTACAAAATAGCTCTGCGTCTTCTTCATTATGCGAACCAATTGTTTAGATAAGAATTTTCTGCACTTTTGTTGTAAAACTACTGTTTTTAATGCGTCACCTGGCAGTCGAAGGTACCAATGGAGTAGAACAGTCGTTGCTGGAAAGATTGTCCTTCGTAAGAGAAGGACGACGACTCGACTTCTGAGACGCGGTGCCTGGTCTACGAGTTCTACTCGATAAGAGCGAGTTATTATCAGCTGGTGGTTGCTTTCCCAGCCGATAACCTTGTCCTGGAAAGTCGGCAGTACTGCCCAAGTACATTTGATGTCTATGATCTTCTACCTGATAAATGTTGACGTAAACACACCGTCATTTTCATATTGAAAACTGGTTTCAATTGAACTCGATTACATTCAATTGAACTTATCTCAAAATTAATTAAAATGTATCTGATAAATTCAATCTTATTAGACTTAATAAATCTATGTTCTGTTCCGGTATTATGTCTAAAAAGAGTTGCTATTTTCCTGAATGTAGTAGTTAAAGTTTTCAATGATGAAATTCTAATTAAAGTTACAGTTGAAAGATGATCGTTACTGCACCTTGAAAGGCACTCCATTGGGGTAGGCCTGTTGCAACTCGGAAGGGAAATAACCGTCCAAAATATCACGAAGGAACGATTCCGTCGCTGGATCGTCGTAAGGGCGCAATAGGCCGTCTTGAACTATCATTCCATTTTTGTAGAATTTTAAAGACATGCAAGAAGGGGTCTTCAAACAATAGTTAAATAACACACGATTAATCTCCCTCTCAACGTTTGAATTAATGACGTTCAATTATCTCGTCGGCCAATCATCGTGTTACATGACCGCCGACGGAGAAACGAACGCTGAAAAATTATATTCTCGGTCCAGTCAACGTGCGTTGAAATGTCGTAACTCTTCGACGATCGTAAATCATGTTCGTCATTGTTGTCCGCGCGTAACGGGTGGGAACGATTAACGTCAATTTTCTGCGTTTCGCTAAAACGCATTCAGGCCGCAGAATTGTCGTCGAAAACCGACACCGGGGTTACGTGACCACAAATATCGATGGAACTCATCCGGTGATAAACGTCGCATAAAATTAAAAATAAAAAATTGTCGGGAACAAGCTAAATCGCATTGTTTCAGTGGAACGCGTGATCGTGAGTAATACGCACATCGATCGTACCAACGTGCTTGGTAAATAGAATAAATACTTCGAATATTTTTAACAAAAGAACTGTAAATAAAAAAGAAGCACAAAATTGAGTTAATCACCCATTCTTCGGATCACGTGTAAAATCCTAGTAGATTTATGATACATCACCTGGATTGGAGTAAAAATCAGACTTTCTTTTCTGTCGTTAATATTGTATAAAATACCGCAGGAGCTTCATGCCCCGAGTCGAACCGTAAAACTGCCACGCGAACCCAGGACTTTACATACAAGAAAAATGACTCATCGAAACGTCACGGTGTGTACAAGAGAGATTTACTTTGAACGTGGCTCCGTTTCCTTTTTCGTTGTGCTGCACGTGAACTTCGCCCTTTCCCGCGGCCAAGTTGAGCTGATCGATGTTCGCGATAATCTGCTCGTAACAAGGCCCGATGTAATTACTAAAAGACATCGATAACCGGTGATTAACTTCGATAGATCGTCAGCCTGATTAAATAGTGGGGTATACACGATTTACTTGGCGACCGGTTCATGGCACTTCGGGCTGTTCGTATCGCCGACCCAGATCAGACCGTAATCGGCCAAGAATTTCTGCAAAACGGGGACACGGTAATTTCGCGTCACGACAACGCAGTTATTACTGGTATCGTAATCCGTTTAAATATTTCGTTTCCATGTATGTGCTACTACAAATAGTTCAAGGTGGGAAACGTTCAACCTCCATCTCATAGATTCTGTGCTCCAACATGAGGCATTGACTGTAAAGGTAATCCGAGCGGTCGGTTTGAACGCGTCGTTGTTGCTGCTCCTTCTTCCTCAGGGTCTCCTGGTTCTTGCTCTTGGTTTCCCACTCCTTGACCTGCGGCAAATCGAGTGTCGGTAACGAGAGAGATGGGGTGCATACGATTGGGCGTACGAGAACAACGGTGAACCTTCCGTTTCAGACGACCGATCTCTTGGTCCTTCGACCTCAACTGTTCCTCGCTTCTTCTCAGGCTGCTCTGCACCTTGTGCATCTGGGACTCGACTAGGTACAACTGCTTCGTCAATGCACTTATCACCTCACTTTCTGGTGGAGACAGTTTTCAATAGTCGGGGATCCGAAACAGCGTGCGTTGTTTCGGGAGTTAAAAGGGTCAGAGCGTTTGTTGCACAACATTAATTGAATAGCAAATGGAAGAACAGGGTAGAGAGATTGTTGAGTAAGCAAGGAGTCGTGTTTAACCCTCGGACATCAGAACCCAAACCCCTACGTCCAACGAAAGAAGGCTTGAACTCAAATTTTTATATGCAAATATTATGATCATATTAATAATGTCTTGTAACCAATTTTCTTTGTTAATATTTCTTCCAAGAGCTACTATTGCAAGAAAGTATTATTGCAAAATTGTTTAGGAAAAAAATATTAAATACTCAAGGAAGGGGAAGAAATACTTATAGGAAGTATACATAAATAATGTTTATTATGATTCGTCGTCTTCTAGACATTGTTTATATGTAATATTTGTTTCAGAATACTTTTTATAGATGTATTGCTAACATGTATGCTACGAGTTACATTGTAACAATGTAAATGCATGGCTTGACATTCTCGAAGACAGTTAGGAGGAATGCGATTTCAACATAAACGTCGAAAAAGTGACTCGGCTCAGGTGTCCGAGGAAGTGTAAGAGGTGTAAGAGGAAGGAAAGATGAAAGAATGAATAGGTATAATAGGTTAGATTGTCATTGTGTTAAAGACTCTCTCCGTTGATGTCGTATTCGTACCTTCTTCGATGATAGAATGATCTGGCAAAAAAAGGTTCGATGGTTTGGCGTTGCAAGGATTCCAAAACTTTCTACCGCCGTTAACTGTCGTGCTGGAAGTCTAAAGAAAAAAACTGACAAAATATCCTCCTACGTGCAGCTGATACGATAAGAAACATTAACGTGTCGACTGTCGTACGGTTCTTTAAAATAATGATTTACGACACGGCTCTTTGTAACGGTGCCAATTTGCTACGTATTTTAATTTTGTACGAATTTATGTTAGTTTACATTCATTTCTCAAATTGATATTTAGTATTCTTTTACGCTTTCATTAACGATTCCTTGGTCGTAAATGACGACCAGTAAAAATGGACAAAACTCTATTCGAATAAAACATTTATTATGTTAATTATATATTGAATTTACGTAAAGTAAATGTAAAAAAAAGTAAATGTATCTTTCATATTTTGAATGGATTCTTTTCTATTTAAATTACACATCTAACTAATAGTTTCGTCCACTACTATGAGTAACGACGCCAGTCAACGCATTAAAAGTAATAATATTTATGAAAGCCGTCGCATTATCTAAAGTTTCTTGAATAATTACGGTAACAACAATGCAGGTACCGTTTTATCAACTCTTTTGTTGACAAGATTTCTGTTTTTCCTCGGATCAACGCTTGCATTTTCTAACGTGGCGCTTTTGGCGCGTTCCTGTCCTTCCTCGTTGTTCACTATATAAGTCGATGTCGAAGCAATTCTTTTCAATCTACGAGCACATAAAACACGTGAAACTATAACCTAGCAGCCCTTATATCGTGGACTCGAGTTATTGCCATGTCACGTAAGTATATCCTTTCAATCGCCCGTCAATGCATAATCAGCGACTTATCGACTCCGTGGAATAACGTATAGAAAATTTGTTGAATACTTGTGATTGCTATTTTGCCCCGACGCCGAAGTCGAAGTACACTTTGCAAGTTTCTTTCGCGGTTGCGCGGTATTATTCGGCTGGCTCATCGTGTAATGGCATTTATCCGGTGAGTTTGACGGTGTTTACATTGGAAATTTTTGCTGGAAATTCCGAAAATGTTTCGGCTGTCGACGTTGTATTCGAAATACAGAAGATGTAGAGAGAGTGGTCGATCGTGAACTCCGCGGTTGATGGGAACGCGTGGTCGAACGAATGATCGATACAAAGTCGGAGTCGATTACCAAGCGTTCGTATTGCGAGGAATACTTTACCTTGGCAGAACGTTTTTGTTGCAAAATTCGCGATACCGGGTGGCCTCGATGAAAGAATTTTCATTGACGTTAATGGCGACACTCCTTGTTGGATGAAATTCGAAGAATCTCGTGCGATGAAAATATCGATCGCGCGAGGGAAAAAAGTGTGCGATTCTCGTTGACGCAAGAGGTAAGTGACGAGAACACCTGAAATAGTTCACGTAGTGAAAGTACAGAACCTTCGTGTCCAACACGTTTCGACCCATTTAAAGTGGATGTGCAGGTGAATCATTCCTCTGGATAAAAAAAGATCACGTTGAAGGGGTTCTAGTCTAGACGTTTAATTTCACGGTAATGTATCCGAATTGAAAGGAAAAGAATTTATAGTGTTATTTTGAACACACATCATTGAAGTATAGATCATCTTTCATTTAAGAATTCTTCATTTCCATGGTTACATTCTGTCGGATTAAACTCTAAATCAAATTTTGATATAGTCTTGCGTAACATTTTATTCAAACTACTCCACGCTAAATCAATTATAAATCCATTGTAAAAGCATCACTAATAATCGAGTGACTTTTGGAAGAAGTTTGAAGTACATCAGTCAAATTGCGCGACTTGGTGGTTTCATTCTTGACACTAGACCTATCGACATTTCATTTATACCTACTTTTACCGCCATTAGTAAAATGACTGATTCTAAAGACTCCTTTTTCAGTCGAACGCAAAAGTATTTCACGTGTAATACATTAAATACTATACAAAACAACATGATGTATATATTTTATATGTGAACTGTACACAAAAGTTTGAAAAGGGGCCATTGATGTTAAACAACTATTGGAAATATAGGCGGTGGAAGGAATGAGTAGACTTTTATATTAACTTGACTTTAAAAACTTTATTCGAAACACACGGAAGAGCACGGCTGTTCTGTTCGCTAGAAGCAGCTCGAATGGATGAATGTGAGGTCAGTAACGAAGAATTTCGCAGCTGCACCCTCTTGACTTGTGTCTAGGAACGAAACCCAAACGAGTTTTTGTCACGAAAACTTTCTCTTTTAGTAAAGAGAAAATCGAACAATAACAAAGAAATTTTCGTTATCTGTATACAAATATTTGAAACAACTGTATTTGTGTCCCTTGGTACTGTATTTGTGTTTGCGTGCTCGGTTCTGTTTGAATTTTGTATCTTCCGCGCGCCGCGCTGTTCCCCGCTTCTCGAGGTCGAAGGAATCGATTACGGTCCCTCGAAAAGTTCGACTGCTACCGAGAAAAGGAGTGCGGAGTCGACGGCGGTCGACTCGTGATGGCGCAGTGGTCGACGATCAATAGTCGCGCGCGAACGCGTGTTGAGATCCACGTCACGTGATCGCTGGTTCTCGACAGTGATCGACAGCAGCGAAGCACAAGGGCGCCATGCGATAAAACGCTGGAGCACGTTACGTTCGCGATTATCGTGGTCCGTGTGACGCGAATTTCGTGTGTCATTCACTTGCGACTAGATAATCGTAAAGTGCGGGATCCCCATCACGTTAGAGCGATGTCTAGGAGTGCGTGAAGTGTCACTGGACGTGCCAGCGAAAATGCAAACGGAGAGGCGAGCCGTAGAACTTCAGAAGGTCTTCGTCGGAAGCAAAGACGGGCTGAAGGTGAGTCATTGTCACGATCGATCGCTTCCGTCTGCCCTCTTTCACATTTTCGCAACGAAGGCCACGGCCACGTGTTATATGTCAGCAACCAACGCCGAAGAGAGCCGACATAACCTCAAACTCGGCGAGAAGTGTCTACGCGTGGAAGTTGGTCTCCAATCGCCGACACACGTCCATTCTTCGTGTCCTTTGTTATGAATCAAACAATACTCATTAATTAAGAATATTGATATTATGTGTCCGGTGCCATTGATTAAATTTTGGACTGTGAACAGATTGGAGCGGAAGATTCTTTCATGTGAGTGTGCGTGCTGGATTTTCATCGGTGTTTATCGCAGTCAATTGATAGAGTGGACACCCACAGGCACCCACTTCAAAAGGTTTTTAAAATAGAGGAATGCTAAATGGACAGGAAGACTGTCTGTGTAATGAGAGGTCAATGTGCATTACGAGTTTGCAAAGTTGATAAAGATGGAGATTATCTCGTATAGCGATACATTTTATGGAAAAGTGAATTCGTCGATCAGAAATGTATTTCGATGACGCAACTCTTGTAATCGACGAATTACGCGAACGGAAACGTCCATATCGTGAATCGTCGATTCTGATTGCCGGTTTGTACAAATCGAGAGATAGGAATTTTTTTTGTATACCGCAACCATGTCGAGGCGAGGAAACACAAACTTCTGGCTATAGCGAACCTCGAACGTCTCGGAGATAATGATTTATCGTGGTCGGTTTGGCAACAACCACGTGTCCTTTTGTCGATCCTCTTTTTGTAACGTTCATAACATTTCAAATTGCATTTGTGAACGGCGCAAATTAGAGACAAGTCGTTGGGTGAAACGTAATTAGTTTGTTCGAAGAAAGAAGAAGACGAAAGTGCCAGTTCGTTTGGTGTAGAAAGTGTCACAATGTGTGAAGTTTGATGAGATTGTATCTAGAGACGCGGTAGCGTCTCGACGCCAAGTACATGAACAAATTTCGAATTGATTCGAATGTTTGTGGGTAGATTATAACGTCACAAGGGCTGGTCACATGTTCGATTTCGTACCGGCCGGCGTAAGAATTCCATCGAGCCAATCACGGGACCTCACTGGTGCTGTATGATAAATAGGGTCAACTGCACGATCATTAGCAATGACGCGCATCCGTTAGCGAAATACACAGAACCACCCGAATTTTAAGTGTATCGTCACGACTTGCTCGGAACGGATCTATTTCTTGTATCGAGAGTAGCAGAACGTTGAATGTATATACTTTTATCCACACATGAAACTTTGGACTCTGAGAATTTCTTTTAATACGAGTTCAGATGAAATTTATTTTTTAATTTTGTATAGTATACTTTCCTACGATTCATTCTATTTTTTGTACCAACTTTTTATCTATACAAGAGAATTGCATAATAGTATGCGAGTTACTGCTAATGTTTAGTTACGTTTATATAGTTTGATTATAAACAGAAACGCCTAAACGAAGGTGTAGGATATAGAATACGCGTATTATAGGCGATAATCGTAGACTGAGTATAGAAAATAGACGCCAACTCGTTGCATGTACACGTTACATTGATCGATCCGGGAAAATTAACCTGTCGGGTTTCGTTGTGAACGACCTTGCGATTTTATGGTTGACGATGCACGCTAAGGAATGTAAGTAACCTGACCAAGAACGAAGCAATCTTTGGGAATTTTTAGCACGAGAAGTGCACAATATAGAACATTGAAATTTAAATACGTTAGTATATTCACTTTGGAATACATCTCGTAAAAGGCCTTTCAACATAGCTCACAGTGCTTGCATAGCTAATTCTCATTAATCTTTTCGCTGAAAATGCAAAACAAACAATTATTTAACTAACGAGTACATTAAGATTTTAAAAATATCTCACACAACGTTGCATGTAGATAATACGCATAAGTACACTTTATGTTTGGAGTTAATCGAGCTACTAATTTTCGAGTTAACGACATTTTGCATGGTTACCAGAATTTCACAATTTCTAAATTTAAATTAAACCATAGTGGAATGGGAAGCTAGAAAACCGGGTTGGAGTTGAGCAATAAAAGAAATGAATGCAATGAAATATTACGCAATGCCACGCAACCTGTAATTCATTCATTATTGATCTTTTAATTTGTTTCGTCCAATGTAGAAGCGGCTGAAGGAACGTAAATCGACTAGTACATAAGTATTAAACTTGATGACTTTTTCATAAATCGAAAGAGCCATGCGCATAATATGAAATTCGACTTCACTGTTCCGTTGTCACGTGTTATATAACAGATACGTGATTGCCAATTTCTGATTGCTGAAAACAGTGAAAATCTTATTAGGTTAGACAAGTTTCCATTGACTACACTGTATATGTTTAATTTACATTTAATTCATTTCATTTGCGTAATCTTTGCTTTCAACCGTGTACAAATGAAATGAATTAACTGAATACTCTGAATAAGTTAGACGAGACATTTTATCAGAAGCAATAGTAATTTTCTTCATTGTACAATTAAACTAGGAGAAAGAAGTAGTAACACATAAATCAGAAGCATGTAGAAGTAGCAATTACGATCAAAGTCGTCAAGATAACTAATTGGAGAATCCTTGTGCGATACAAACTTCAAACATCGAAGAAAATTCTGGCTGGTTAGTATCACATCGATATTGATTACCTCAGAATAGTATTTCGAAGAAAAAGTAATAAGCAGCTGGTGGATGGTTTCCTTTGAACTCCTATTAATACATTCGCGATACATTCAGGTATTTTACGTTTTTAATACCGAGTACTGACGAAAATAATAAAATTCAGAAGTTGGACATCACAAATTTGTATTGCTAGATCGAAAATAAAAATGACAAAATATGTTTCGAAATATCAATGTTGTAAATATGTAGCGTATAAAATAAAAAGCTTTTCATATTTTTTTCATGACCGGGAATAAAATATGAAGTGACGCGAATTCACATTAGCAAGCGCGAATGTGTTAACACACAATATATAACATTATCCATTCTGATAATTGTTGAATATTATATACTATTACTTCATACACAATTCACAATTAAACCAGAGATCAAGAATCTAATTTACAGAGACTTTAATGTTCCGTTTGGTTTGAAAGAGTTAAATAATTACTCTTATCTTCCCTAT